ACAGAGTAGACAAATTCATATATAAATCTAATGGCTGCAATAATCTTCTAGCTTTTAAGTTCAAAATGTTCTATGATTTGTCTAATTTCTGGTGTAATAATTATCGTTTGCCAATCATTCAATGGATTGATATTTCATTGGCATGTGAATCTTTTGCTTTTGTTTTCTGGTACGAAATCTTTCATGCAGCATGCCGTGTTCACCGCCGTGCTTAGTTGAAATTGATTCCTCAGATTCATAATTGTGGGTACCCTCGCTATTAGTAAAATCTCCTCCATTAACTATAACTAGATTTTTTTTTTTAATTTTAAATTGTATTGTAAGAGATTATTTTTTTAGCTTTTTAATCTATTACACTCTTATACTATGTTATCTAGACATAGTTGTAAAATAAGTAAAGTCAAGTTATTTAAATTTTAAATTTGAGTTGATATTATGTAAAGTAATAAGCCAACTCAATTCGAATAACTTGAATTTAAACTTGATTTATGAATTTTATTTAGTACTTAACTTTAATATTAAATTTAAATTTAATTAAAATTAAAATTTTGATTGACGTTTCATATATATTTAATTTTTAATATAATTAAGTTGAGTTAAATTTAAATTATAACTCTACTTTAATTTTTAATATAATTAAGTTGAGTTAAATTTAAATTATAACTCTACTTAATTTTTCATGGTAAGTTTTCAACTCAAACTTGATTTCAAATAAAGTTGAGTCCAACTGGAGTTCAAGTTGGGTAATATAACTCATTTACAACACTAATTACACCAACTTTGAAATCTGAATGACTACTAGAAGAATGTCTAGAACTGCAAAATTAACAAAGTGAAGGTTGAGGACCAACTTATACTTTGAGTAAAAAATGAAGGACCAAACCTTCGACGGAGAGAAGAAAACACTGCATTTGTTTTCATTACGATTCAAGTGCTAAAGAAAAGTGTAATCGAAGTTAAAGCTGTCACCGGCCATGATAATTGTCCTTGGGTAGGGAGCTGACAGACTTAAACATAGACTAATTTGAAGAAGTTTACAAAGTAGCGCAATTTACCTAAAAAAAAAAATGGAAAAAGGTTGTTGCATCACTTGTTACCATTGAATAAATTTGGAGTGGAATTTTTTTTTTTTTTTTTGAAAATAGGTAATGGAAATTTTGGAATGGAAATTTTGGAATGGAATTTGGAGTCCGAGCTAACGAATAAACAGAAACAAGGCAGTCTTTTCAATTGTAGAGGGTTGCCTTTGGCTAGTTATTTTACTGTAAGGATAAATTAAAAAATGTCAGACATATACCCAAACACTCCATATAAACAAGGCAGTCTTTTCAACTACAGAGTGTTATCTTTGACTGGTTACTTCTTTTTTTTTATCAATTTGTAATTATTTACAGAGTTAATTGAGGAGAGGGAAAAAGATTTTCGTGAAGTTACAATTCATCGAAAATGAACAATACTAACTCAAAATTCAATACCATTAAATCGGAGCGGATCGTTCACACTGATTACTTTGTTGTAAGGATAAATTAAAAAATGTCATACATGTACCAAACACTTCATTCAAGACAGCGCTCCTAAAGAGCAATGCTAGGAACACTCGCTATTTACACTCTCCAACCAATACTTCCTTATTGGGCCACGTTATGTTGGCTAAGAGAGGTAATCATTTCAAATCCAAAAGTAAGCTTACGTGGCCCAATAAAAAAGCATGTGTTGGCTGGAGAACGCAGGAAGCGAGTGCCCCTAGCACTGCTCGGTTCTAAATAAATAAATTGCAGTAATGATACGACT